GGTTTTCTAGTACTATTAATTAAAATGAAACATATTAGCAGATTCTGAATTCGTGAAATCTTGGCTAATTTGCTTAAAGCACCTTAACACATCAAATGTGATACAACTGTTAGAGTTATTAAAAGCGGACTCCACACAAATCTCACAAACTATGCAAGCAACAAATCAATTTCTTTAACAGCTGTACTAAACAAAGCAAGAAATGGCGCTTACAACGGTCGTGAGAATTAAAGGTTACAAAGGACATGACAAAGTTATCCTAATAAATAACCGTTTAAGCAGATTAAATAAAGGCTATGAATGATAAAAAAAATGTAGAAATGTTATGGTCAAAAGTTTTAATGAAAGCTCCAAGGTAACAAATTGATTAGAAAAAGGCATACAACGGTGAGCATAGTGGACTGAGCTGACTGGATGAGAGTTAGAAAATATGAAGGAGATCGGGCAGTAGGTGCAAAACGAATGTATCTTTGTGGATTGCTCCCAGCGTAATACTGGATTCCTAGAAGGTCGGTAGTGGTTTGATTGTGATGGGTTTCGTGGGTGAAACGAATGACATTGATTGGTTTGGAGACAATGCGAAGAAATGGCACGCACAAAACAGCAGACATTGACGAATTTAAAAAATCCTCGAACAAATGGTTTATTCACGTATCCACTTGCATGGTCGCGTTGTTGAAGGGCGTATTCTGCCGGGCGGTGAAGTACCGTGGAGTCAGCTTTCCGCGGAGAGAAGATTGATTCAGAATCCTAGGCAGCAATTTACCCAAGGATTGCAGCACAGGAACTGGTGACGTGCGACATCTGTATAAACTTTTTTATCAAATACAGAACCAAATTTTTTGGATTGTACGTTCCCTAAATGACATTAATAAAATACTGGTAAATGTATGCAAATTCTGCAAGGTTAATGAAATGCATGAAGTTGTATCTCATATTGCTCAAAGTTAGAGTTTGGATCCATTTCCGCGACTTTGTCTTCAGGTAGTACTAAATCTCTGTGAATCTCTGCGTATCGATATAGCTAACCTCTAAATATTCAAAGGCACAAAATATTATGTTAAGGGAACGCCTCCACACATGAGGAGAAATTTCAAATGGTGCTCGGGCGGGTTAAATATGTTCGGGGAATCATGGGAGATATAGCCCAAATAGGGCATTTATTCCTATTTTTGCCAGACGGAAATGTGCTGCAGCAAACCATTGCGCGGTATGAAGTGCAGTACGAAGTGTCCAATGATCGCGTGCTCATCTGCAAATTGTGACGATGCGGCTGCTACCTACCGATTCATTTGCAGCAGATGAACTTTAAAATATTATCTTTCCCCTGCTTAGCTGCTACAGCTGAACAGATGCAACTCCGGGGAACTATGAAAATAGTCGCTCCGTAGTTAAAATATGCACCAGATCAAAGGAATAAACATGATAAACGATAGAAAATGTAAAGTGAGATGTAAATAGTTGAACCTCAACAAAAGAAATTCTGCCTGCACATACCTTTATGTTCGCGAACCCAAACGGTAGCGTTGTCAGTAGCTTCATCATAATAATAGAGATAATAGAAAGTACAATCATCAGCTGGATCAACATACTGGCACGCCGTTGTGTCGTTGAGCTCTAAAAATCGAATCCTTGTGGAATTATATTAAAAGGATCAACAACAATAAGAGGATACTTGACACTAAAGAGACACATCGCAGCACAAACCTGGAAGCTTCTCTACAGGAATCACTGTGAATGGGCACTCTCCGCACCGCTCCTCATCATATGGACCAGTTCCCCATTGCTGGCACATCACGCATGGCTTGTATTCAATACATTTCGTGGGGCAAGTCTGCAGTTAAACATCATTTGAGTTTTTGTTATTACATTGAAATGCCCAGATATGTGAACTCGAAAAAGAAACCTACAGGGCAAATCTCGCATTTAGCTCCCGAGTATCGATTACCATCTGGACCGTCGAAGCAGCGGCATCGACCACAGATACATTCTCCTTTACCGTTGCAGATTTTCCCATTTGCAGACATGCAGGAGTCTTGGCTAATGGGACATTCGCATGCCCGACCTAAAACACTTTATTTATTTTCAGAAAAACAGAGGAACTTGAAGCCCTAGATTGAGATCGTGAAGTTTCATTGTTAACACTACAAAAGAATATGGCACAAACGAGAAGTGGCACTAACCTGTCCATCCAGGAGCACAAATACACTGCCCACAGTTGCATTCGCCATGTTCTGCACAGATTTTGCGATCGTGTCGGGGGCAATTGAAGTTATCGCACTCACAAAACTCTCCGGAAATCTGTTCCTCAGGATTCTGCAATGATTATGATCATAAGTCTGCTGGAGATTACAAGTGCACGATACAAGTAGGCTCTCATTAAG